CACCACATCTGAAATTCTGAAACCCATTAGTGGGAAGATCCATACAAAAAAGGTCTCAACTGCCTGCAGAAATCGCTCACAGGGTTGTTGTAGGCAAGAATGACTATTTCGATAGCTGGGACCTAAAGACACCCTTCGGAACTGCCGCGGCGAGGCAACGAAGCGGCGACACGCCCCTCTTCCCGCGTTCGTCATCGTCACAGAAGACGAGGAGAGAATGCGCGCCAATAGCGCTGTTCCTCAGCTCTGCCATCCCTGCCCGAAAAACGTATGCAAACAAAATACAGTACAAACCTAGCCGCATAGACACTTAATATTCCTGTTCCTGTGCCAATATCCAGCACATGATCAGTAGATGAAACTGTATTCTTCAGAGCTTCAAAGAATTTCGTATTTCTCTCCTGAACACTGTTAAGTGAAAAAAATGCAGGGAAAAGCAAAGCAGTTCAGTACCTGATCATTGATCATAAACATGTGCCATTGATCAAAAACACCACTTCGGATGTTAGCAGAAGAGACACGAAAGACGGCTCCCATCAGTTCATCGCATTCAGCATTTATAGCCGCTTTGAGGTTATCGTACGAGCATACTCCTGTCTCGCCAGTGTCTGCAATTATCCACATCAAAGATCGTTCAAGCTACAATTTTGTTCGCTTCGGCTAAAGGGGCGCGTCGATGAGGTCGAATTTGGCGCGCTGCCAGCCCGTTCTTCACCAGTTCTTCAAGTGGATAAGCGACAACAATTGGTGAGAAACTACTGTTACAGGCGATATAAAACAGTCTTGTTGCTTGCCAAAAAAATGAAAAAGAAGAACAAGAACATGAAGAGAGGAGGAAATTCGCCAACCTTCTAGGAATATGGCACTTCCGGAAACGTGCTCCGAAAGCAGTGTGACGATTGGCACGCATTTTGGGAACAAATTCAGAATGGGAGCGAACAAAGCGCTGAGACATGAATCGGCATTTCTTGAATAGCACATCCAACTTTCGAGAACTGTACGGAACTCATCGGCAAATTCGATTTCTCGTTGTTCAACATTCTGTAAAAAGGGGTGGCGGTGAACGAAAAGATAGAATTTTTGGATCACAACCAGTTCAGCTTGGGAGGACGAGGGAGGGGCATTTCGCACATCCCGTGGTTCCCGTCGTCCAATTCTATTTTGTGGCTTCACAAGGTTTCACAAGTCTCCACATGGCTCAACACGTCGATGGGAAGAAGTAAAAGTGCTAGATGTCCCCCCCCCTCCTTGCCGAGCTGCGCCGAATTCCATCGTGTCGTACCTGATAAGTGAATAGTACAGTGAGGTAATGCCGAATCGCTCGATCCCACCAACCTTCGGCAGCGTACTTCCTCGCCAAATATAGCGAATATTTCATAGTTGTTTTACAACGAACAAAATGGACTACTCATACAAATAACAGTCATCTGAAAACCATGAATTTTCAATGATATTAGATGCGATTTGGTGCAACTCTGAGTAAACCAGTCAGCGACGCGTGCGGTCGCGGACTGGTTTACTCAGAAGTACATCAAATCCGCGCTACGTCAAAGCAGATCGAAAAGCAGTCGCATAAAACTGATCAATAGCCATTACGAACATGTACAAATGAGCGAAAATTTTAAAAATAATGCATGTCAATGGGCAAGCGATTGAAATTATGGCACTGTGCGCCTAACGTAGCACAAGGAGGCCTGGGCGGGGAAGGCGGCCATATCTCCTCTGCTAA